GTGGCCTTGGTCTCTAGGAAGGAAGACATAACGTGGTCTCCTGCTCCCATTCCCAGGGCTCCCAATGCCTTTGTTTACAAGTCTTTTAAGGCCCTGATCACATGACCCTTTCGACTACTCTCCTTCTTACAATAGGACAAAGTCCATAAGTCAGTGCTAAGGCTAATCTTTTTATCTGCAGTGGCCAAGACAATGTCTATGACAATGTTGCTGCCAGTTGAACCATAGATGGGTGAGTGGGTGGTGGGTGGCTGAATCAGTGAATGATGAACGAACTATGAGGATACAGATATAGACACATCTTTAAAATGGAAAAGGAGTGATTACTTTCATTCACTGTTTAGAAAAGGGGAAAGAAAAGCAAAGGGGAGTTTTAAAACATGTTCTTCTTTCTAGAGCCATGTGGGCAAGTACAGGTAGTTGAAGGATGTAAAGAAAGTTTAAGGTGAAATACACAGGAACTGAAAAGTAGAAGAGGCTTGTCAAGGGAAATGAAAGGTAACATGAGCCTGATATGGAAAAAGCTGGCTCCAGATCATGACCATTGTCTTCTTGTGTAGGACCTGAAATTTATGCAGACTGACTGATTAGAAGAATGGCCAACACACAAATCAAATACACAACCTTCATCTAAATAAAAATTCTCATAAGCTTCAAGCATGACCATTTCAAGGAGAGCAATAAGAAAATAGATTCTTTCATAATGCTATTTTGATAGGATTTCTGACTTATTTTTGCAAGAAAAATTTATTGACAAGCATACCCCATAACTGATTACATATATCCTCAAAAGTATTTCCTGTCAGAAAAGCCTAAGAATCTACTGATATTAAGAATGTCATTTTTGATCAGAGAAGACACGTTAGGCAAGGGACTCCATCAGATTAAAGAAATGGCTATGGTATTTTGACACTAAGATGTGTAAGCTAAGGTGGTGAAAATCGAATTTTCCTTAACACAAACTAAGCAGAAACAGACAGTGGCTTAAATACACACACACACACACACACACACACACGTTATTTAAAGAACTGGTAGAGGCAGGTAGAAATGCTGGGAATGTGACAAAAATTTAAGTATGAAAATATTATAGAAACTCCACAAAAACATAAAAGGTTCCTGAGAAACAATGACCCCTCTACA